AAGTCAGGGAACATAAGTTTGTACATTGAATGCATGTACGCTCCAGGTATACTTAACAATGAAACGTTCTATCAAAATAAGTATTTTGTGTAGTGATTACAGGTTTTGATCTTTATTTTATAAAATTAGAGATTTAGCTTACAACTTCAGCATCACCGAGATGGTTTATTTGTTAGAAATAATGAATAGGAATAGTTGACAAGCAGAAGTAATCAAACATACCCAAAGTCGTCAGAATAGGAAGGATAAATAAATTGCGGAGAAAGCCTTACTGCTTACTTCTTTCTGAAGTTTATGCTGATGATGTTGTCTAGGATAACAACGAAGACTCTACGATTAAACAACTCAACTCCACCAAACCTAGTCAAATATTAATAAGAATAGAAAAGTTTGTTTGCATTATTAATACATACCAGCTAGATATTCTTTGGACAAGGTTGTTCAAGGTTTAGAATAAAACTATTGTATTAAGTAGTCAGCTAAAGCTTTTTGTGACAGAAAAACTTTAGTGACACTTAGGAACAGTTTTCATTATGTTATATAGTCATCAAATCCTTAAACCATGAAATATATGTCCTTAACATATCTTAGAATAGGCTATAAGAGATCTCTAATAACAATCACATGTAACTTCTACTTTTCAAATATTTATCTTAATGATATCAATTTATGATGACTAGTTAAATATTGGAGATGTTAACTTTCGGGAGAAAAGCAAATAAATTATAACCTCGGTACTATTAGACGAAAAGTTAACAAAATATCTTCTTCATAAACATCCTGTTCAAATTATTTATCAGCTATGAAAGCAGTGATCAATGATAAATTCGAAAGTATTGGAAACATCAAAACTGATGCGGTTGCATTTTGAATAAGGTTTCTAAACTCTTTAAAAAAACACATTAAAGTTAACAGTATTTATTACCTTTACAAGGTTTTTAATTGATGTATTCATGAGTTACGTATTCATTACAAATTGATAAACAATTAACAATGACTTTGAGACAGAGTTTATATAGTTCCAATTTTCTCTCCTGCTTTGTGACGATAATGGTATAAGGATATTCTATATATCTGGGATAGGTGCAGAATCAATTCTATTGAATGTATTTAGTGTTGGTTCGATAAATAAAGATTTGGTTATCAATCTCTCGCTCAATCCAGCTAAGTTTTAAATACTATAGCTCTATCCGACCCTGATTTGTGATTGCCTGTTATTGAGTGCAGGGCTATAGCAGAGTTTTTTTAAAATTTCTTATCTTACTGGGATCTACAGATCTTGATTTAGCCGCTTTTGTGCTCTGCATGCAATTACATACAATCACACGACTGGGTAGGATAAAGCGACACCGTTAAAAATTTAGTTGGGCGGAGGGAAAGATTGATAACCGAATCTCCGTTTATCAAACCAACACTAAATACATTCAATAGAATTGATTCTGCACCTGTCTCAGATATATGGAATATTCTTATACCCATATCATCACAAAGCAGGAGGGAAAATTGGAACTATATAAACTGTCTCAAAGTTGTGGAGTTATCTGATATGAATATGGACAATAAATTATGTATGAAAAGTTATCCAGTAAATAATAGTGTTTCACTGTGTGACATTTCTAATAAACAGACTAAAACGGAATAACAGTCTACCAAAGTGTCCAAGTTTTACTCCTTTATTAGTGGTTTATTAACCTTCAACCATTTGTCAGTCCACTGTTAATAATGTTTGGAAATTTGTTCATCCACACTCATACTTCGTATATAATTATGCTTATTTTAATAAAACAATAAGTTTTTATTGACTAGACATTCTGTCTTTTGAAAGCTCATCATTACAATACTGGATGTATGTGATTATTTATCAGGTAGTTCATCATTCTTTCAGTCATGGACAATAAAGTAAAGTATATACTTCTTTCACGTACTTACTACTACAATCTTGTGTTTGAAGTAAAGCATGTCTAAATGTCAGTGAAGGGTGTGACCCTACACTGATGCTACCAGTCAACCTCAGTTACTTTAGCCATATATCTAGTACTGCTAACAGAGCCAACTTCATGATAGAAACGCTCTTTCGGATATTCGTCAGATTCATGGAAAATGACTTCAAAATCCTTACTGTCTCCTCAAAAGGTGGCCTGCTTGAACCTTGGGCTGCTAAAATATTTTAAAAATGTTTTCAACAACCTATTTTCTGGTTAGCAGCAAACCAAATAAAAGACTTCACCCTGGATGGAAATGAATTTTTAAATACACGATAATATAGCAAATTAATTTCACTCAGACGCTTATCTCAAATTCTGGAGCTTTGTACTACCTGGACGAACTAACATTACCGAAGTTACACCCGATTTTCAATTCACATCCCGTTTCATACACCCTTATCTAACAGCAGATGGAAGTTTAACATTATTGCCTTCAGTATTGTTTTTGTTAACTTCTAACAGAGACACTAGTTATTTTGTTTAAAAATACCGCACAGAGAGTGAACTTAATGAAATATTACATGCTGAGAATTCAATCCTGTTTCAAACATGTTGCTTGAGATTATGGTTTGATTATCATTATTAACACTTCCTTGTGAAATTCTGGTGCACTTGTGATGATGTCCAGTGTTGAACTGAATTGTTTGCCAGCTTAAAGCTTAGCTCAGAGAACAAATCAATCTAAACATACCTCTATCTATCTAAATTTGGTAAAAAAAATCACATCTAATCCATGACATCCGATAAGGGATACGGAACTACTGGATAAGGTTCAGAGCAGAGCAACCGAGATGCCATGACGCATCTGTAAAACCTATCGCATGACGAGAAGATAATACTACCAAAAGTACTCTGCTTGAATACAGATGGACTGAAGGCAATCCCAAGATACTCTAGTCATCATTAATAACACTTCTGGATACCCTGTGCACAGTTTATAAATAGGAAGTGACTAAGTACCATTCAAAAAGTATCCTTACAAGTTGAAAATATGACATTTGAAGTCTGAATAGTGGACAGTTTTCTTTTCAGCTAGAGTTCTGAAAATCAGAATCTACTTTCGGATTGGTGTCATTTCAGCTCTTTTTGTTAACACCTTAAAAGTGTAAGACTAAACATGTAGCTAATAATATGATCTTTGATTGAGAAAAGCATCATCAATGGTGTTGGCTTGACCTGCCATCGATTCACTGTATGTGACCTGCAGTTAGCTAGTAAGCTAAGGCATTCTTGAACCATCATAGTTCTGTAAATTCCGTTGGGAATTGTTTTCCGAACTGACTGAACACCATTTCCTGCTTACACTACACTTATTTATTATTATTTTGATATTTTTGATTTAAACACATTGGATTATACTTTTGTAGTTAAAATAGACTAATGAGACCATATATGTGCGTGAATCCACGCAAGATTCATCCTTATCAGGTGTCATTATGCTGTGAATTAAACAATCAGGTTAATGAAATCAGCTGAGCACTTTCTTCGCCACGTTTGTTTGTTAAAGATCGTCTCTATCTATAAACTTAATGAAAACTGATTGAAGACAAGAATTCATCCTCAACACCTTATATGGCAAGGCATGAGGCTCAGACCACAATTATCTCACCATTCGATCACCTAGTCGACGTTAAATGATTTCTTCTTTCCAGTTTCTGAAGATTCATGATGGGGCCTACTGTCATTCACTGTCTTCCATAGGCTTCTGTCTCAACAGCAATATAGTGCAATACTGCACAGAAGTCGAATGTTGGAATTGCAAAAGGTTTTATCAAATTACATTTCACACTTCATGTTGGTGTGATTAACCAGCAACAGACAGTAGGAAAAACTAACCAGCAACTGTTAAGCATCTCACAAAATACTTTTATTTACTATGGTAACAGTGTTGGACAGTGACTGTATAATCATTCCCTATTTTCTTTGGAAAGTCGAACATGCCTGTGCTATTAGCATGCATCAGTGGAAATTCAGTGGTAATTCATACTATTCTTAACTTCATAGCTTCCAATTAAAAGGACGGTAGTCAGTAAAAGGACGTCATGGCTGATAAAATCATTACCGGTATTCAAAAACGGTTTCATAACATGCTTTACAGACTGAAATTGCAGGAAAAAGGATACAACGACTGTCACTTAGTGTGATCCTTCTTGGTCATCGTCAGCAAAAATAAGGCTGTGAGTAAGCGTGCATCCTCGATAGCCAAATGCTAAGAGCACATCATTAACTAGTTCTCTTGGTAATTTACTTCAGCTGGAATGAATTCTCAGTAGTACTGGGAATTATATTTCCTCTACATTTATGTTAATTTTTGTCTTGCGAAATCGCTAAAAATATCTTAAATTGATAATAAGCTTTTAAAATATACATGAATTTTAGGCTCTAAGTCTACATCTGTTAATTTAGCATGTAATATAGCTGTTATACATTGTTCTTGAGTAAGACATATTAGGTTATGAAGATTGAAAATATACCTTGCTAACAAATATCGCGACATACGAAACATATTTCCAGTGTCCTTGCCTCCTGACAGTGCACTGCAATGTTACGTTACATAGCTGATCATATTTCAAAGCCGATTCATGGACGTTGGTCAATTCTAAGCGCCTTAAACTGAACAGTTACAGTGATCACAATCAAGTATACAGTTTCTTTTCCTTCAGCGTGTTTTTCATTTAAATATATCTGTAACTTACATCTACCGATATATCAAAAATGAAAGTATACTGGACTTTTTGAACGGATATATGCATTCATCGAAACCGTTATCACTAAGAGGGGATTAGACTACTGAATGAGTCACTGATGTATTAAATACCTGCTGAGCAAAACATTATATTTCGCTTTTACCTCTTTTGCCAGTATTAAAAAACAAATAATTCACACTGCTATATACATTAAAAGGATGTTTGTCATTTTCAGCTGGAACTATTAGGTATCCTCATGTAAAAGATCATGTTTCTAAGCCTGGCTTTATATGCATTTAGCTTTTGTAAACATTGATTAATTACTTACCTTTGTCCAACTAATGATTTTCTGCAAACAAAGTATTCAGATCTTCTTCTGTCTGTCCTAAGTGAAATAAAAATAAGATTATCAGAATGCTTATTTCATAACAATTAAGATAGTTTTAAAATGATTTTAACACCAGGAACAGTTCTCCAACAGCATCTGGTATCATTTAGATAACTTCCTAAAGTAATAAAGAGCATTGGATAGCAGCTTTGACAGAGTCTAAAATTAAGCAAGAGTTCACATTCTTAAGCTCATAATATGCCAAACCTAAGACCATTAATTGTGTTCTCACTCACCGAATGAGTTTGTATAGTGATATCACAACTTTTGGTCTCATTAGGTTTCTGTTGTTCCACGACTATCATTCATTCTTACCAGTCATTGATATTACCTCAAAGCAGTTTATATATTATCATTACAAATAAGGCACAGACATTTGGTATTAATCATCTACATTCTGTAGATGTAACACGCTTAGAGGCAGAGTTTCTAACCACCTCGGAACAGTAGTCAAACAGATGCATTTCTAGAATTTCAAATAAAAATTGAAAGCTTACAAACCTTTCCAAGATAAGTCATTTCACTGATTTAAACGAATCATTATGGCAACTTCAACAAAATGTCTAGAGAGGGGTAAAAGTTAAAGGAATACCCCCTCATCACATCAAAATTGATTCTTATAAACTAAATCTGGATAGTGAGTTGCCTTTAACACAAACTATTCACTGAAAAAAATAATCATATATGTTATTTGACTGTAAGTTAGGAGTTTAGGTGTTTCTTAGTTCTTCGTCATAAAATCCTCACTACTTTAAGATTTGATCAAATATCAAAAACGGCCGTAAAGTTTAATCCTGGTGCTAGGTAGTAGAAGTTAATCATCAGTTGAATTTCTACATCTGACTAAGCGATAACTTCATTCGCATTGGTCAAAAATTAGGCAGTACCTCAAAGTTTCGGTGGAATTTCAACAAGCTCGAAGGAAGACTAATGTTTTATATCAATGATTTTAAACCAATAATTTGTCTGATTCATGTCATTTTTATGCCATAAAATTTTCTGTTAGAACATAGATCTTTTAAGGCTCCTAGATGAAATGATTTAACCAGTTATGGTATTATATACAATAAACTAAGCTCAATAACACGGTTGAAAGTAGACAAATACCCATCTCACATCACCTCCAACTGTTTATATCAATTCACCTGTGCTTGTGGAAGCAAGTACATAAGACGGACCGATAGAAGGGAGTCTACTCGTCCTTATGAGCATATTTCGAGAAATCGGTGTCTGAATAGTAGCAAGGTCTTTAAGAGCGCAATTCCAAGGCTCCCGATGGAAACAGAACATCAAATTGATGATTCTCAATCCTTCAGGATAATCAACAAACAAAGTACGCTTTGTTTATTGCGGTTCTTTGGAAGCTCTCCATACCAAACATTTTTATTCTGACCTATGTGCATAGGACTGTAATTAACCTTTCTTTACCTTGGCAAAGTTTTACAATGTTTTGCATCTGTATGCATACAATATTCCTTTTTTGCTTGCATCAGCGCCTCATTAATTACATACTGATTGCTAATCATACAATGATTTTCCAGTTTTTCATGTAATTACGCAACCTGCCTCCCACTCCATAGCTCCAGAATTTATTAAATAACATATAAAGTCCCGTTGATTTTGACCAAGACTTGCAATTGCCAATCCTCTGTTTTCTTGACTCACTACTTCATTGTTAGTCCTTGATTTTAAACCCCCATTTATTTCCACATATTTAAAGTATGGCATGCAATCGTTACTACTAATACTTTATTTCAATTGTAAGCTGTTTACAGTTGATGTAAGGCCGTGAGATGAAATGAGCTCATCCTATTCTGTAAATGTCATTGTTCCTGAATTGTCCAAATTTGTCAAGGGAACTAAATGTACGACATATTTAGCATTAGTTGAAGAGTAGCAAGTCTAAACCAAACTGTTTACATCTTTTCTGAAATTGCGATATTACTTGAAGTATACCTAATAACTAAAATATTAGGCTGAAACAAAGATATTCTCCAGAACACAAATTCGTCACTTCATTTTTTTACACTATTTAATAAACCCCGATTATATTTTGAATTTTATAAAAGTGAGTCTATCATTATTTCCTCTCGATTTCTGACATTGTTTTATAAAGAAATTATGAATTAATCTCAGTGTTGGTTATTCAGGATCTCATAGGAAGAATTTACTACTAATACAACATCGAAAACTGGAAATGGCGAACTACTTAAACGGAGTAGTGAACTCAGAAAATGCAATAGAAAACATACAGAAATACATATTTATCAGAGCGCAAACCTATTCACTGTTAAATGTACGGGAATAACTAACAAAATTACAGTGAACCGTTTATTGCATTGAAGGTGAATAAAACAAACAAGTGCGTATTTTAACGGTCTATTGGAATAATCATTGTAATTTTCCCCTTTTGTCTTTTTTTCTCCATCACATGATAAATGAATTTACTTTGTCCACGATCAAGAAAGTTGAATTGAAAATTAAAGAATTTATCTTCGTAGGAGAAAGTTTCTTGGTACATATGAATTGCAATGAATATAAGTCCTAGGTTGCAACAGGATTCCAACCAGTGGTCAGCAGATTACAAGCCTGATGGTTTGTCAACTGAGCAACCAGATGCACCCGCTAATCAGATTTTTTTCTATCACGAAGGATTTTTCGCAGCTACTAAGAGCGATTAAGATGAACAAACAGTTATGTTTCACCAATTCATATGGTAGCAAGACACAATCTTTAGAGATGGAAGTGAAATTATAACCTGGTCTGCAGCTGAATTTCGCAGCTCATGTGTAAAGGCACCGGGTTGGTTATCTGTAAGCTGCTGCTTTGAATCCTTCTGTGAACTGGGTTTTCAGTTTGCTTACAATCATCACCTCATATTAGTAATATCATTTCACTGAGGAAATCACCAAGTTAAATAGTTATCTTAATTTTAACTCATAAATGTAAATTCAGCAAAGTTAAGATGATCAGGGAAATGAGACTAAGTTTTTATGTTTTGACTAATTGCTTCAATAACTTTTTAAGCTAATAAAACACCAAATATCTGTTTGAAAAACATACGGTGATTTTATTCCATCTAACGCAATATTCTTTCGCTTGTCTATCATATCGAATTCGTTTGATGTACCTTTTTCCAAATGATCACAGTTTCCATCATTTACCGCTTTTGGCTAAAATAAATAATTTACTTATTACTCAATAAAAAACAGAAGAGTTTTAATAGGAACTTTGATCAGCAACTCAAAACAGATATTATAAGTTTTCAACAAAAGTAGAAAACGTATGCCTGAGCACAATAAGTTGTCAAATAAAGCAGTTTAAAAACAAGCAGTCACAATTTGAAATCCTTAGTTGTCGAGCATAATTTATTGTACATTTTTAACCACACGAGTTTTAATTAACTTTTATCACAGAGGAAATTCGATTGAATAAGTTTTATTATTGATCTTGGTGACTAGCAGAGGAGTCTAAAGCGCGCATTTCGTTCTATTTTAGACCCGCCAGCTGGATGTACGCACAACAAAGCGAGTGATGTTGTTCCCACAGAGAGAGGCTCTAGCAGTTTGGTCCTCTATAACACATATCATAACAATGACTGATGACTGTTGCGCAAGAGGTGGCTAGCATACCCCAGTGGCTTAAGGATAACACTCTGGCATTTGAAGTGAAGGGTACTGGGTCCGAGCCTTAGTGCGAATATCATCACTCACTGGGGTGCAGGTACATCCAGTAAACAAGTCTCAAGTAGGACTAAATGTGCATCCTATGTTCCTCTGCTAGTCACCAAGACCAATATAACACCATGAGTATCCGGCAGTATCGAAGCATTTGCGTAGGAGCCCATCTGCCAACAGAGGTCAAACAGTTTGGCCCTGTATAGCAACGGGGATTTACAAGTTTCATCACAACTTTTATTACTCTACCACCAACTACCGAATTAAATTTGTTTTCTAAATTATTATTTACTTGCCAAACACGAGCTGCAAACCTCAGTTATATGACCTTTTTTGTCGCTTTCCAAGCTGATTGCATTCATGATGATTACTCATCATTCGTTTCACAGCCATATTAAACACTGCACTATCCTTGATATACCAATAAAAGTCGTTTTATAATACCTATATAAGTGAATTAATCGGTTTACACGTTCCAACTTATGATGTCTTACTAAAAGTTGTTTGTCGCAAACATAACTTTCACTGTTATAAATGGTTTGAATTCATAACCACAAAACATGAAGACATGAATTTTTCTTGCTTTCATAATTTGGTGGAATATGTAATGAATTCCAATAAGTGTTTTATGAAATATGGCATATTCAAACAGTGAATAGAATTTCAACGTAAATAGAAATAAGGTGCATGAAAAGAAACACGTTAAGTTTGATTAATAAGACATTGATGAGAGTCTTTTAAGGTTCAGTAAAAATCAAAATTACAGATGGTTAAGGATAGAACTTATATAAAATTACAGTCAAATGACTGAAAGTAAATTATGGTATATTTCAAACTTTTCGTACAGTGTACGACTATCGGATAAGAATCTTTTAGTTTATGCCACCACGTAGTTCTAATCCAGTAACCTGTGTCCTAACAATATGAATTCATGCCAAAAAATTACTATCTCTGGGTAGTTACTTAATTCTACCTTTAGAAAGTTTTACGATCCTTAATTGTAAATATTTTGTTAGAGGGGAGTCACACAAAGCTAAAGTTTAGCCTTCGTATTTTGACTGTCAAGTATCATTGGAAATATCAAGTTCCTGGTGTAAGTATTATGACAAGACACGTGAGCTATTAATATTGTCTTCAATTGGATCTCTTTACGTTTTACTTTAATCCACATAACTTCACAGATGTATAAGATAAGAATAAATATTGGGAGAGTTTTCAGTCAACAGTATGAAGGATGTGGATTATGCACTATCCAACAATAAAATATTGGCAGTATAGATGATGATGAGAGCACTGAGATCAGCATGAGAGAAGAAACATGAGTTTTGGCAGTTAAAGTAGATCGAAAGTTGGATAAAAACAATAAAATTGCTTAATGCAAGACGATAAAGATAATAAATAAACAAGGTCTGTGTGTGAATATAATAAGTTGCAGAGAACATAAAAATGGGAAATGAAGAGACTTTTGAAATCATTTAGCTAAGTTATTTGCTGAGCAGTGTAAAAGGTTGTTTCTGAATGGAAAGTTTAAGATTGGGCTTCAAATCTCTACAGTCTCAGGTGCATGTAAAAGGTAGGTTTGAACTACCTCAGAAAGACTCCACTGTGTATAGTAAATCACATTTTCAGCGCTTTCTTTTTGTTCACTCTTTGACCATTATTAACATGGTGCAATAAAATACAACATTATGTACACTCTTTCTGTCTTCTTCTCAGCTTCGAAATTAAAGGTTCAATTATATGCTGCTTAATTTGGTTAGTTGTACGCCTGATATAACTGCCTCCACAAGCCAATACATATGCAGTTAGTGAAACAAGAAGCAATTCAGCCGCTGGAAAATGATACGGAGATGTTAGCCGCATTAATGTTTCTTCAGTTGTCCTTAAAAGTCTGCTAACTAGAAACTCACTAAGTATGTCCCGGTTGAATTTCAATGTTACTAACTTCAAACAATTACTACCTCAAATTTTCTATCCAGTTTGTTCATTTGTTTCCTCGTTAAAATTATAATAATAACCTTTTATGATCAGCAAATTCAAAGTGTATTTTAACTCCAGCTATTACTAATCATCTGAACAGATGGTTGCCAGAAATTTCACCGAATTTCTTTTGTACAGAATAGGTGTCAAAACAAAGAAGCATCCATAATGACATGTAGATAAGCTTCTTCTGTATGCCATTTCTTTAGCTAACCATCTACACTAATAAAATTAGTTTACGGTCATGTTCTTCTTCACAAGTGAGGTACGTTTAGGATGCAGTTTGTTGTATTTTCACAAACGCTTACTTTGATTGATATTTTTACCAAAGATAATAAAGGAATTATCAACGTATCGATAATAAATATCTAGGTGGAGTAATGATATCCTATAGGGGTTCAATCTTTATTTTGGTTGGAGTGAAGTATGCAAGAATTAAGTTTAATGGTGAAGCCAATGTGATTCAATATACTTTTTTAATAATTTACATTGTTGAAGACAAAGTATGCATTCACTGTGCATCTAGAAAGCAAACCCATGATTCTAAGCTTAGGAATTCCAGTGTTACTTATTTTTCTATCACTTAACGATATGTAATGTTAACTGTCAGTGAACAGTACTTTATTAAAAAGTAATGCGACTTCTGAAGGTATTTCATATTTTTTGCTCACTTCCGCACCTAACACCTAATAGATGAAACTAAAGAAATACTGAAATATAAAGTTATATGAATATTTTGTGAATGGTTGCTAATATCTAAACCAGCTATTTTTTAATTTCATGATATGATGGTGTAAACATGTCCAAAATTACATGAAGAGAAAGTCCGGATTTGTGAATTTTAGTAATACTTAAAGCTATTTCTTACTGTAGATTATCAGATATCTTTTCATTTTGGTGATAAAAATGAAGTTTCAAAAATGTTAATATATGAATAAAACTAGTAGACTGCAATAGAGTAGAATGCGGTGCTATTTTTTGCATTCTATTTGGTACACAGTGATCTGATGTGGCCTTATTTACGAGAATAGTTTAACTAGCCTAATCATATCAAGGAGACTAAATAGTTTTCAAACTGCATTTTTTTATATATTGGAGCTTCTTATTCTTTAAATGATGAGAATAAATTGTATTCCTAACATGATATACTAAGTAACAATGTATCTTTGTTTAATATGTGGATTGAAGAAACTAAGGCTGGATTTCAAGTAGTTTTCCTTGTTTCATGGTATCATTTCTGTACTATAATTTGTCTGAATAACTACTGTTAACTTGTTATAGCAAAATGTATGGCAGTTTAAGTGTGACACAGCTGATAAACGAGTCATTTCCTAATAATTTAGTTTCACCAAAACTATGAATAAATTAGGCGAATGATCAATAGTTTTGATATATCATGTAGTACTATTTATGAAAAACTTCCATCAATTTGAAAATCAATTCTTACATGCCATCTAATGAGAGGATAATTCAAAAGCTTAGGGATCAGTGATCCACTGTTATGGATAATTAATCGAGCGGTCTGTCAGGAAGTGAATAATGATGTTCACTTCTCATTAAAGACTAACAATATTCGGATATTCACAGATAAGTGAATAAAGCAGTCAACTGATGTGTTTCACTAAGCGATCGTGAACCAATGCTGAATGTGCCTAACAATTTTTAAATCTACCACAATGAGATACAACCGCTAAGTTGTTAGATAAACAAGAATCTCCTATTTAACAATTTCTACCTAAATCTAGCTCACTATGTATTATGACCATCATTCACGAATCAGGATTCATCCACCCCATTGATTCGGTTGATCCCAGTGTTGTATTTAAAAGAAAACTTTACTGATGATCTCATTTATTTTATATTTTAATGGTTTGATGTTAAATGAATAGTGTGAAGACAGTTTCCTCTATAGATAAACGTGTTCATCTTATTTTTATTTTCCTTGGCTGATTGTTAGTATGAATTTTAATATGAAAACACGAAGAGTTTTGCATTTAAAAATCATTTAAAGACAAATGAATGACCAGTCAATTTCTGAGACTGAATACGTTTTAAACTTTCCCATTCACTAGTATTTTTAACCTACTTGTTCATGAACAAGAGAAATCACGGTCTGATGAACAGTAGCATTTCAGTTAGCCGTGCATTTGTATTACTGCCCAAGGAGTAATTTAAGTTACTTACAGTAAGCCAAACAATATTGTCCAGCTGACAGATAAATTAGGAATTCTTCACTTCAACAGAAAGCTTATTTTCGCAGAATACTTTCGTATATAAAAAAGTTGTCTTACAGACACTTCGTAATTTAACTGGCTATTAACTAGTAACCAACCACCACGTGCAAAACATCAAAGTCAGTTTAAAAACAGATTAATTATTTAAGTTAATCAATCCTTGTCTCTTAATTTCGTTAAGAAATTGCGATTTACCGGTTGAAAATTACTTTGTGACGTAAAATCCCTAAGGTTTAGGTCCTAACTAAAACAAATGACGTTCACCTCCTTGCTTCAATATTGTTGGAGGCTTGTACACAAATCTTTCAGATGTTATGGGAGTTACAATATGCACACATTAGATGTTCAACCGTATAAAAATGGAATAGGATTATCATTCACTTTAACTTTTCATAAATAAAATGAATTTATTTTTCAATCATTTAACTCTTATTAACCATCCTAATGAATAACATAAATAGCTAGGAATGCATCAGATTGATATAAAAAATCTACCAGTTGAATCACAATGGTGCTAACACAATCTGATATGTTTTGATTTGTTTGCTGCCTATCAGTGTTGCCATCAAACGGAATCAGTTTATGCAAGTAGACTGTTCACTTTGAGTGAACCCGACTAGATGACTTGGATAAATCAATACATTATACAATGGTTGAGCAATTGCTTTCTTAGTAGTTCATCAGTTGTATCTCAACTGAATGACTAAATGGTGCTCATCAAGAAATCCAGTGGTCGTGATCAGACTACTAAAGCCTCTGAAGACAACTACTAATCGAAAGATATCCAGTGATACCATTGTTTATTGGTTCTCTAGTTTATATAAAACCGCGGTAGAAACCACTTTATCATTAATCATTCGTTCCAAACCCTTAATTACATTTTGTTTTACTGTTATTAATTAGATAATAACAAAATATCTCACACAAACTGAGTCCGAAACATGATAAAGAAGATACTTCATTCATTAAATAACTCCTCTTTTTATGGTATATCTCGCTCTGCAGCGTTTTCCAAATACAGGTTATATAACATATATCAAGAATCACATCATTAGTATTACCTAAAATCGTTGCCTATTGTAACTCCAGGAACCTATGAAATCTAACTTTTCCCGACTTCGGAGTATTTGAACTCAGTTAGCAGAGGATGTTGCTTGGATGAAGTTAATCGGAAGAAAGTCCAGAACTCAGGTTTCAGGCTTTTTAGCACTCATCAGAAAAGCTGTTCTTCAGCCTCGACGTAACTGATATCCCTCCTCAGATCTGAACCTTCATCTCCCTGTGTTGCGGTAGTCAGAGACATTAGCAATGAGCTATTCGGGCCGCGTTTGACGTCCTGTAGGAGTGGTCGCTACACTCCAAAATGATCGATAAAGTTCTACCAGGCCTTAGTACCTGACTATAAGAAGTTGGTTACTCTCCGGTAACCAACCAACGTAGTTAGTGCTGGATTTCAGTCTCATGATTGTTGATATTTCACAGCAAAATTTAACTTTAACACTTCAAGGGACCTATCAATGTCACATACTAACAAAATCAACTCACTTCATCAAAATTTCATTCAAACTTTCTTTTCCAATAAAATATAGACGATAAATACAACACTGTATGGAGTAGGTACCTTTCTTGACCAAATCTTTGGATGACATATACTACAAAACAACACCAGTACTTAGAAGTCATTCACTCTAATATGAAGGTTTCCCTGATCGGATTAAAGTGATCTAAACACTAGACAGCCATTTCACTTGTTCGAGACTGAGATCATCAGTGGTATGCATATAAAAATTCACCCTATTAAGTTGTATTGTTCACATTAACAGAATTGAAATAAAGGTGCCGTAAATTGGATGATAAACTTGTACGTTACTTACAAAGTGCAAAGTTAATGTTGACTGACTTGGATACCTTCCAGCGGAATTCAAAAGCGACTGAATATAAACCATGCAATTTGTAAATAATTTGTTAATTGATCATTTAGCAAAACCTTATGTTTACCGTGATTATGAATGACACATTATGCACAAAACTGTCCTACTAAATGAAACTATACTTATTTTTCGTACATTCACTGAATACTCTCATTCCTTTATATTTTAAAACTGTAAAACATACCTACCTTTGAATATAATAAGCCCATTATTCACTTTTCTTGAATAGATTTTAAGTGAAAGTAAAGTGATCTTTTAAAGTTCTCAAAAGTAATTTATTCTTCGGAATAATGTCTTCTCTCTACTTCTATTGCATAGGTTTTCTTAATAGTTGTTTTGTGTGCGAATATACTTAGAATAAGTTCAGTGTCTTCTAAATACATGCTATATCACGAGTTCGCAGAGTTCCGAGGCTATCGACCACTGGGTTCTGACCCATTAGCAGAATAGCTTCGTGTCGGCTGCAAGACCAGCACATCCTGAGCTTGGTCTACTGCAGGATCATGAGTGCACACAGTTGAAGAGTCCCATATTAGGACAAGTTAAAAGTCCATTGCTACTAGGTCTGCAACTGTTTTTAAACTGATATCAATTCCTGATGAGTATTACCTTAAAATCAACCATTCCCTACAAACTAACAAGTGAATTAAGTAGGAATGAGTTTCACAGTATCAATTATGTCATCATCAGTAGGTTTTCAAAAGCAGTTGTCATAAGATTGCATACGTGATATGAGTAAAACATATTTACAGAAAACAGGTAAGAACACTAGGTACATATGAATGACATTTAAACCTGTAAAAATTTAAAGCCGTCGTTAACCATGTACTCGATGGTTTTAAGCGCAATTTATGATATTATTTGAAAAAGAGATGGTTCAAAATTTTCTGATTGATGAATACAGTATCCGTATACTTTATTCCTCTTCATTCATATTTGTGAACATGGATGATTAGTTGCCTTGTCTTAGTGATTTGATAAAACAGATCAGTAGGTATAACACTAAAAATTTTATCACGGAAATTAACTTTAAGTCAAAAGGAAGATATATTTTGTCCTTGATCTGTGCATATTTAAAGTACTTATTGTCACCGTTAGTAACGCGAAAATGAAGGTTGCTTCATACACGAGTGCAATGTAATGTGTTACTCATGGTGAAAACAATAATTACTTAATTTTCGCACAGTTCCCATGGTTTGCACACGTAAAAATTCATAAGCCTGTCAATGATATTTGCTTACCACAAAATTTCCGCTTAAATGTCCATCCATATCTCCACCTTCTTTGCTCATTTGACTATCTTTCTGCCACCAACCATTATCTTGAGCATATGCAAGTAATACCATAAATGGAAAAAACAAAAGGGTCAATACAGATTCCCATAACTCTATAACTGCCGGACTGATATACACAACAACTAGCAACATCCATACGTAGGCAAATAAAGAGAAAAAACTAGTTAGTATAAAAACATTGAATTTGTCAATTTTTTTTACAGTTGGTGAAGGAATGGATAAAATACATATTCCAGATATGATAAGCAAATTGAAAGATGCTGACCCCACTATGGTGAATAAGCCCAGGCTGCTGTGAACTCCATGGGATTCTTCATGTAATCCTTTGAATGCTTCAATACATGCGAGCAAAATTTCAGGAGCTGATGATCCCAAAGCCATAAGTGTTAGATTTGCTACTGTTTCATTCCAAATGAATACTTCATCCTCGACAAACTTTCCTAATTCCCTGTCATATATTTTAATTTTGCACTTTTTGGCGGTTATTTTTTCTATGGAATACATGAATACATCTGATGATACGGCGACTCCGACAAAAAGATAAAGAAGTGCGGACATATAAAGAACAACCCTTATCCATTGTGGCCAAATATTTTCGGCTGGTAAAAGAAGCCAACTCTGACAATATGAATTATTGAATGATGGATGTAAAATGACAAGTCCGGTGGTGAAGTTTTCATAGTACACAGGCATCAGGTCAAGAATACATTATTTCTCTGCCTATTTATCTTACCATCCTAATATACCCAAGCTGAGTAGCGCAGAAAATACGCGAGTAACATTTGAATAGATTCTAAATGATGAATTTAAAATCGAACCACATGGGTTTAATTATTTGAGGTATTTTCTGATGTTTATTGCAAACACAGAAAAGGTGACTCATTAGTTACAATAAATTTGTTTAAGTCGGTCTAGGTCATGCGATTTTTCAAAAGCGTCTGAGTAATGTCTCCATCACAAGTATCACATTCGGTAGGTACCCGGGAGGAACTCATACGGAAGTATCAAAATATAGGTAATTGAAATCCTTTTGACTGTAATTCTCTAGTCGAAGATGTTTCTGAATCAGATGAAGCGTCCATTAAAGCCAAGGAACAGGCGATTCTGATCTCGGAAATCTACTCGCTGAGAATAAAGATGCTAAAGGTATGTTCCCCATATTTTGTTGCAGCCGAAGACTGATGGTCGCAACATATTCTTTTTGGTGTGCTTCTATCCATCATCGTATTCAGGTATCTTATCCTCCCTTGTTTTCTGTCTCACGGTCCTTATTCCATAAGACTAATGTTTTTTGAGGGAATAAGCCTGTAGCTTCACAGGTAAAATCTTTCATTGGAGCGATAACTAACTTCAGAAGTATCTCCCGGCTTCTGATAGCAAACACGAAAGCGTCTTATGAATTTGCACAGGTTTACTTGTATGTGGTTTCGGTCCCTGATGTTGACTTCAGGTCTTATGGCTGTAAAGGAAATACTAAGATTCAAAGTCGTAACATATGTATTTTTCCCTACTCTGCGTCAGCTGTCTGTATGATTGATCTATTATATCAATTAACAACAATTATTGCCTGGTCTCAAGGTTTACCATGCTTTTGCCTGTTCATCAACTAGTTCACCGGACGATGTGCTTAGTGCATTCATATGGTAAACATTTAGGTGTTTGCATAAGCTTTTAGCTAATACTTTTCATGCCTGCCTAATTCGTTGCAGTTACAGTATTGTGTTGCTTTTTCGTAGGTAGTACTCAGTATTGAGTAACCTAATGTGGTAATGTTTGGATCACAGTTGAAATGGTGGCTGTACTAATCATCTAGTTTAGCTGTGGTTCATTCGTCCAAACTCTTCCAACTGATTTGTCACGGATTCAAACGCAGCTCCACGCAACCGGGTAGTATCGTCAGTCCTCAATAGTTATGGTTAATCGCCTAATGCGTAAACGTGCACAAGTTTTCTGAGTTGATTTCCTTTCTCCTTCCGGGTTCGGGTGACATAACTGTTAAAAGTAGAAGACATGAAACGACTGTCGCCTTCGTAGCATTGCTCGCTTTTAATGGAATCACCATGTGAGCAATGTTGAGATCAGGCGAAGGATACTAGACAAGTCGTTTGAAAAGGCTGTGCACCTTCATCAGCTAGAATGGCTTGGACATGAACTACGCATTTTTGACCGCCGCCTACCCCGACGTGCCGTGGTAGAAAAAGTTGGATTTGGTTGAAAGAGGGATCAGGGTGACCAGTCGAAGATCTGGCACCAGTCCATGAGAAATCTTACTGTTGGTGCAAGCCATGGGAGACGTATACTGCATATTCCGGTTATCTAAGACAAAAGGAATCAGTGGTTGAGGACACTTGGTGACATGGCTGAAAATCGGTTACAATGGAGCAGATGTATTCACTCTTTGACATTTTCTAAAGCTTGAATATTTGCCTTAGCCGTTATCTTCAAATTGTTTATTCTACTACACCAGTTTATCTACTTCGATATTGGTTTTTATCTATCCACCTTTTCTCTATGTACTACTGTGGTGTGGCAACTTGAGCACTGGTGTGCAAAGTTCTACGTTGATTCTGCTTGCCCTCTTCCCTCCCTCCGACTACTGAAGATCTCCTACCAACCCCCTTGATTTGGTTGTTTGTAGTAGTCGCTCAAGTATCTACACGTCACGTCAAGATATAAGGCGATCCAAAGTAGGAGACAACGATATTATTACAAGTCATTCTAAAAACCATGAAATGTGGTATAATGGTCAAGGAGGACTGCATACTGCGATTAATTTCTATCTACGGTGCGTACGTATTTCCTCAGCCACCGTTTCTGATTGTCTTGCTAATGCTTTCCTGAAAGTCTACTTTCTCCTACATTACTTGCTATCAGATGCTTCATAGGATGGTACAATTTATGTCTTGCAACCCTAAGGTTTCTATACAGTGGTTAAGTGTCTTGGAATGCATCTCAGTCGAAGATATGCAACTTCAACTATTGACCTATTTCTTCCAAGACTTAACGACCTCCCAAATTGTAGACACTTGGAAAGCGTGAGCCATACTCATACACCTCTTTCTCTTCAGTTACACGAAATTCAACTTGAATCTGTAGTTGCTATGGGTCTTCAAACTCACCAGAGTTGATTAAACTGTTTAAACAGAAAATAGTGCGGAATGAAATGGATTCTGTGATAACATGTAATGAACCATTCCTGTGAATGTAGAGCTAATTTTATTGCCTGACTGTCCAAACCTCGATATGTGAAACGGAGTTCGTATCCGCGATCCGCAGGTTGGAAACCGAGAGCCACGGTTCAACTAGACAGCGAAACCTTATGGTTTTCAACCAGAGGTTCTTTCAAAGTGAAGGTGGAAGTTTACCTAATACGTACTGTCTAATTTATGAGAATTAGGATATAGCTCGACCACATTGGTCTAGTTTACTGTTCATCTCAGTTCGTTAGAAGACAAAGAAGTATGACAACCACATGGGAGTCATTTTCACTATTTTAGACCCATATGGTCCGCAGTCATCTGGCGCCTAACTGTAACTCAGGGGAGTTGTCATCTGAAGTAACGAAAGTCAGTGATGTCTTCCAAAAATCCCCACTATAATCATTCCTACTTAGCTTTATTGTCGATGTGCTGATGGGTACAGCCCTTTATACCTCTGCCTGACGAGGGCATCTGTTTAACTTACAGTACACAGAAGACACAGTCCTTTTAGGCAAAGATGACAAAATGTCGTCCAAACACATTGAACTGAAATCTGAGTATGTTTGACAATTTTCACACCTATCGTAAAGGAAATAATTTTTTCGGACTTGCCTGCACTCATTGTTCAGAATGAAGGTTGAACTAGTGAAATTCGGTGACCACTTCACCTACTTGTGATCCTGCTCAATGGACTGTTTGCTGGCGAAACCCAGCTTAGGTACAAAAAGTTGGTTTGACATTTTCGAACTTAAACAAGTGAGGTATTCGACAACTTTCCAATAGGTGAGTGCTCTATTTCACTCTGTCGTATTATATGATTAAGACGTAGAAGGTGGACATGTGATGTAACTCCAGAATCTTGACTGCCAATCTTTTCGTATCATATGTAAACAGTGTTAGGTTAGATGCAGATGAGGTAGTTAACCTTCACTGACTGAGACAACTCTGACGTGTTGCATTTGGAAACTATCGCTTACTTCGACTCTCCATGCTAGCTGAAATGGATTGGATTGAAAGAAAGTTCAGATTAGCACTCCCAAGACATGCAATTTATTTATTACCTTTCATATAACACGCTTTTGTTTACTTTAATATATCCTGTTTCTGTTCAGTCCTAATTTTAAGACTCCTGTGGAGCTTGAATGGATGCACTTTTGTATCTGCTACCATGTTGGTTTTTTTGTCTGAGTAGTGAGCACTAGATCGGTATTTATTTGGGTATCTATGTATTTATGTTTCAAAGTATCGACGAAGATTAGTTGTATGTGTATAAACAAACAAAGATATGTTACTATATATATTTGTTTCGCACTGAGACCACAAACCTACAGTTATGAAACATAGTTTGTTACATCCGGCTATGTGACTGCAACAACTGTTTATCTCGGGAGCCATTAGTTGACATATTAGGTTAGAGCACAATCTGCTGCTGATAATGCGATCACTTGGTTACTCTGATCTTCAGATTACAGGTGTCAGCAATGGAATTACATCAAACGATAAAGTTGTCCATCTTCACTTATTGAAATAATTGGGGTATGTTAACCTTACCGCGTCTTCGTCCAGTAGATGTGATTAAGCTGGGGTAAATCGAAGTTTCTAGAAACCGGTCCTGTCGAAGGAGACTAGTTCGTAGGCAAGTGGTACGCATATGACGTAATTCTGTTAGAGGGAGATCCTGACAAAATGCGTCCTTCTTGACACCTTGAGTCGCAATTTGAGAATATTTGTGGTGTTTCTCTCCACTCAAGTGCAAATTGTTGGTCCAGGACTGGTGTTCTGTCTAATAATTCGGGAATGAGGCGGCTTAGCATGTTAATCCTTGATTGTTCTCAAAATTAACACAACAGAACGATAGTGTTAATCATTTGTTGCTGGTATGCCTAGACCAATGAATCTATTAGCAGTGTCTGGATTAACATCCATTTGTTCGCACCACGGTGGGTGCACATTCTTTGTTCTTCTCTAGTCTATTATAACTAGTACCATTTACTGTTGTTGAAATGTGACTTTTGTTGATACACACAACGGTATTTTCTTATTCTCTTCATCTTGAGCTTTGACGCTTAGGCTTAGTCTTTGTTACTAACCTGCATGTATTCACTTACTTGCGTCTTCATATTTCCCGCAACCTATGTTGACTTGCCAACTGTTCTGAAGGAAACTATACTTTTAATCATAAACTTAGGATTGGAGATCGAACTATCTGTCTTTGACTTCTGGGGATTGAGAACACTCATTGCTTAACGTTTTGCTGAATGTAACCGTTTCCATCTTCATGTGCTTGCATTTTATCTTCATGCTTTTTTACTTTCCATCACTAATCTGTGTTACAATTGTACCCAAAGCCGTTTGTTCAAGTTGTAATGTGCAGATATCGAAATGTGTTATTTAACTTATATGAATCATCATGCTTGAACTGCAGCCTTATATGATAAAATGACTTCGTTTTTATGACTTTTAGTCAACTCTTGAAGTGAACCATCGAATAAATCGACGCTCGGTTTCTATGTGCCTGTTTTTTTCTGAACTCATCTTCTCTGCTAGCGTTTTAGTAAATTGTTCGTGACATCTTAACCTTCATACTTTCTGACTCAAGATGAAATTCATAAGACTTGTCTCACTTTTTCCGTAATTCTATTCAACATTGGCATAAATTTTATTTTGGCTATTCTTATCATGAATTAATATGACCTGAGTAACACCATGAACCAATAATTTATCATGAGATTCGGTCAACCAGAAAGAATTTTGTTTCCTGTTTATTATTCTTCATGACTCATGCGAATTCTTACGCCAACGAATTGTCAATTCTTGATTTCACTGTATTTCTTGCTTTTTATGTTTTAGCATTAGCAGATCTTATTATAATAACGCGTCCGTTTCTCAAACTTATTAGTAAAGCCAAAGCAGGTCGACTTGTTAGAACTTTAGTGGACTTATTTTTGGATCTTGAAGGAGGCACTGGTCGTGAAGTGGATCTGTGTCGTGATTGCATTGAGTGGGCAAATCAGGAACGACGTGTTTTTCTTCGCCAAGCACTGGAAACCCGACTCATGGGCCTGTATTATGATAATGGAAGCTATGAAGAAGCATTAAAACTGGGTAACTTAAAAAGTTTATACCTACTGTTGTATAATATGCTTCTGTAATATGTCTTATATATTGATCTGTGATTCAAACTCCCCACCTATCAACCAAATTATACAACTGTATCCCACTGCTTTTATTTCAGTCTTTGTAACCATGTTTTGTCATTAGTGCTCAAATTGTGAGTGTTAATGTGTTCAATGTGTGTCACTTTACTAGTAATGTATTCCTCTTTTTAATCTCACTAGGTTCCAGCCTTTTACGTGAGCTGAAGAAACTGGATGATAAAGCCCTCTTGGTTGAAGTTCAGCTAATGGAGAGTCGAGTGTACTATAGGTTAGGCAATCTGCAAAGAGCCCGTGCAGCTCTGACATCAGCACGAACTACAGCTAATGGCATATATTGTCCACCAAGGTTACAGGCCAATCTTGATCTTCTTTCGGGTAAGTAAATATATGTCGAATAATTCACCACTTAGTAGGTATTATTTTCTACTCAAAATTACTGATCACTCTTCATTGTAACTACGTTCCAAAGACACTGAAATCCCATTTAGTGAAGTGCTGTATTTTATCGGTGATATCAACCGTGAAAGTTGTATGATGCGAAGAAGCCCAACGAGATGAAGAATTCTTCAGTACACACAATGTTATAGTATAACTTATGAGACTTCAAAACTTGTTGTGATTGTCGTTTCAGGTTTACTTGCTTATTACTCTAGCACAGCTTATCTATACCAGTAGTTTCTTCATGATAAACTAATTGGGAATGCTTTACTGAAGTAAAGGCTTGTCCGTCTATATATGCAGAGATATGTGAACAACTGAATAATCATGAAAATAAACCGATAGACTGCACGCAATAAGTGGTAACGCTCAACCATCTAGTTCTTTGAACTTTCAGAAACAGAACATGTGACTATTTGTAATTTCTTGAAAGACAAAACATAAGCTTATGCATTAAAGCAAAACTCACTCAACAACCATGTGCACATTTGTGCAGTTGCCAATGAGAAACACCTATTGTGTGAGGGTTAATGATACTATCTGGCAGCCCAGACCTCGGTTAGGGTAGCCGTGTTCCAACCTGTTACCTATTGGTTGAATATCAACTCTCCAAACCAACGAGCTACAACTCTGAACATTAATTAATTATCTCCATATGGATGTCATTCTATCTATAAATGAACTAACGACAGCCGAAAGTCATTGGATAACTTGTCCGATTTCTTATTTAGTGAGTCACACTATGATCGCTGCCATGTAGCAACATCTGTCCGTTTCAGTAAGCAGCTACTTAGACTGTGAAAAAAATTTCAACGGTCAGCGAGGCGGTAGCGGAGAAGGATGAGTCTGTGATTCACTCGTAGGAGAGACGTGGAATAGTATAACTCACCTCCAGCTGCTATTCTATTGTTCGGTATGCAGTCAGATCCTAATTGGAACACTGACGTAACGCCTGCAACACCTGAGGAAGTCGAGAAAGTCACGGGGAATCTGAACCAGGATCGGACGAACTAGCACAGAATGTATTTAACGAAAGATTGGTAACGATAACTGGAGTGTTAGCTACTGTATGGGAGTTAGGTATAATCCCTGATATTTAATCCTAATCACTGATTGTCCCAGTTTTCGAAGAAAGGTGAAAAGTCTTCTTGTGATAACCAAAGGGAAACCAGCCTTATGGACAGTGTCTAAGATGCTAGCTTCTGTAATTATCCGATTTCTAAATAGAACTCAAACACCAAACCCAAAAAAATCAGGCAGGTTTCAGACCTGGCTGTGAGTGTACCGACGAGATATTCACTCTTTGCCATGTTCTGGAACACAGGCACACTTATAGGTCCCCGGCACTGGCTGTATTTATCGACCTGAAGACGGCATTGGATTTCCTCGAAAGAGAGGTCATATGGCATTGTGTCACTGAAAGAGGTACCGAGTAAGTACGTATGTATATTGAAGGTTCTGTACTGAAATACCTATGGTTGTGTGAAAGCCTATGGTGAGTGCTTTCCGTCAAGGATGTCTTCTCTCTCCATCGTTGTTCAACTTTATCGTAGATCTCACGGATGTCTCGTTGTCGCTTTTCTTTTCAGTAATTGATCTAATCACATAAGAATCCTTGGTAGACCTAGAGTACACTGGTCATATAATCCTGTTAAATAGGGAATCTAACTAGATATAGAGTTTTCTGGATACATCCAGTGGATACAACCAATTATTCGCCCTCTACAAGATCTTGAAACATATATCCTCTGTACTCAAAATGGCATTCAATCGGCAAAACCTTCAATCTAATAGCGTTCAACTCCATCTATTGTGTCTTGTTGTATGACTATATGACTATATTGCTTGGCTATTGGACGTAGATGGTGTGAGAAAGCTGTAAGTATTCTAACACCACTATCTTTATAGCGTGTCGTGGAGCCATCACGTTGATAATTTGAAAGTTAGATGAAGGAGGTAAGTCGATTTGTGAGGTTTCATTCCCTCACCGGATAGCTCAGTGGTGATATATGTAACTGAAGCACTGGGTGGTGGAGCATTAGTTTCCTCAAGGTTACAGATACACCTTGCCGAAGAGTCCCAACAAACATGAAACCTAGCTCCCGCGCGTCCTGCCGGTCGCCTCTAACCAACCTACCTGTTGTTCGTTATCTGCCCTAACGCTTTGTATCTGCGAAAATGATATTCAGTTCCAGAAATGTTAGGAACGAGCAGACTACAAATATTAGTAATCCTTGAAAATGTAGATTCGCAGATTGGAGTCTGACTGACAACCAAATCTATGGTTGTAGACTAAGTTATTTTACTGAGAATCAATCGCAATAGCACTGAAGCATCCTCACCTTATTTTCATCCTAGCCGTTATAACACGTCCCATCATCTTCCTCATTCCTTCCTTTTTTCTGATCAGTTTCTGCTGCTTCTTATCGGATTGTTCTATCTCCTTTTGACCTTGGATCTTGATGTGAGATATGACAACTTTCACCGATGCTCAGTGATTTCATATCCCATGTTGTTAGTGGCTTTCTAAGAGATGATTATGGCAGTCCTCGGAATATCGCAACTGAAAATGACTTTTCATGGCTTTTATAATTTTGTAATGTGTTATCTCCTTTATGATGCACTTATATGTGCTATAAACTTAGTATTTTCATCCCACAGGAATTTTACATGCTGCTGATGAACGTGATTTCAAAACTGCATTTTCTTACTTCTATGAAGCATTCGAGGGCTTTGATTCGATCGGTTCAAAACGTGCTGTCGACGCCCTGAAATATATGTTACTGTCCAAAATAATGCTGAATAGGTTTGTCATTATTATTGTCTCGAATTGTGCTTATGTATCTATATTTTCAAGTCCATTATTTTAGTAGTTTTTATCTCTAAATGATTGAAAAACAAAAGATTGTTTCCTCTGACTCTTCGTTACTTACAGCTGTAAGGTAATAGTAAACCTTATTCAACAACACCTAATCTTTTGTTGGATAATTTGATAAAAATTCTGCACGAACATATGTAGTATGTATGAAATGAAAAACAATCCAGTAAACTTCTCTCAAAATGACCAAAACAACTGTAAATGAGTTTCGGAAACTGCTTTTTAATCATGGAGTACAACAACAATCATCCCACCCACCTAAGATGAAGTTACGAGAGTACTTAACAAATGCAGCATCGTTGTTCCACAGAACATTAAAAGCGCTGCAGAGGATTTTAGTCTATGTGGAAGAAAATAATTCCCAGGATTCACCATATAGATGGGTTTGTGAAATAAAGTGCCCAAACTGCAGTCAGTACAAGACAGACTTTTAAAATCGTGGTTAGAAAAGTGAACGTCAAAGGATTTCCATCCGACCCTTGAGAATTTCGATCGAGTCAATATATGAAAGCTATAATGTTGCAAACTACAGTTTATCATTCACTTAAAATTTAGAAAATACAAATGCTAAAGAAATATCAGTTACGCAATTCCTAAATTTCTGATCTGTATATCTTTTCCAAGTTGCTTATCATTAAATTTCTTTTGTTATACCATGAGTTGTGATATATTCTTTCAAATAGATTTGTTTGTTCAACTAAAGCATAATTCCCTCACGTTATGTAAAACTCATTCGTTTAGATGTGCATATTATTTTATATTATTTGTCCCTTGGGTTCCTAATGGAACATAAGGCTTCAGTAGCATGTCTACAGTGCACTCTGTTCTCTGCAAACTTTTGAACCTGGTTCCACGACAGCCCAGAAGCTCTCATTTCCTCCTCGCATGATCTCCTCAATATCACCCTCGCTTCGGAAGCCCAACTCGTCGCTTCCCATCTGGGTTCCACTAGAAGGCCTTATACGTGATGTCCCCAGTCGGCCTTCCCAGTGTTTGCCCAATCCAACTCCACTTCCTCCTTCATATTTGTTGAGCAGTAGGTTCTTGGTTGGTTCGTTCCCAGAGCTCCTTGTTGCTTATTCTTTCTGGCAATCCATCTGACCTTTAGTAACGAGCCAGCGTATGTGGCAGTTGTTGATGAATGTCTGTAGTTTGTTGGAAATCCCCTTCGTAACGCGCCAAGTCTCTGAACCATACAGGAGCAATGACTTGACGTTGGTGTTGAAAATCCGGATCTTGTTCCACATGCTGAGTGCAGAAGATCTCCACACTGGTTTCAGGTTAATGAACGCCTGTCTTGCTTTTCCGATTCTGACTTTGACATCCTCGTCTGTGCCGCCTGTAGTTGAAACAGTGCTGCCTGGATAGGTGAAAGAGGCTACTTCCTTCAAGTTTCTCCCGTTGATGGTGACTGGAGCTTGTTGCTGGTGGTGTTGTTGGTTGGGTATCTTCATCACCTCTGTCTTCTCTATATTCACTTGAAGTCCCGTCTTCGCTGCCCTGCAATGCCTCTTCTGTCAACTTGTTAGTTTTCACCTGTAGATCTTCAAGTTTGTGTGACATCAGGCACAAGTCATCGTTGGCGAAATCCAAATCTTCTAGGTTCTTTTCCGCAGTCCAGCCATTGTATCCTACTCTTCTCACTCCCCACTGTTTGCTGCATGATCCAGTCCACCACAATCAGGAGTATCATGGGGGATAGTAGGCAACTTTGTTTCACTCCTGTCTTCACTTTAAAAGCATCACTGAGCTTTCCATTGTAAATTCCTTGGTATGTGGCGTCTTCATATAGTTGTTGAATGAGGCTGATAAAGGTTTGCGATATTCCGTAGTATTGAAGCAGTTTCCAAATTACCTCTCGGTCGACGCTGTCAAAGGCCTTCTCAAAATCGATAAAGTTGAGGTAGAGAGTTGACTGCCATTCTATACTCTGTTGTATGATGATGCTAAGTGTAGCGTTGCAATTTGTTCGGCACATGATTTGTACTTCCTGAATCCAGCCAGCCTGCCTGTTCCGGTTGTAGTTTTGAATCCAGTGTATGCTTCAGTCTCTCCAGGATGATGCGACTTAATATTTTGCTTGTTTCGGGTGGATAGAAAAGGAGCATGATTCCTCGCAAGTTCTTGCAAAGACTTAGGTCTCCCTTCTTTGGGAGTTTGACAAGGTAACCCTCATTCCAGTCTGCAGGTACCTTCCCTTCCTTCTAGACCTTGTGCAATAGTGGTGTGAGCATGTCCACTGTTGTCTCTGCGTCTGCTCTCAGTGCTTACGGCGGAATTCAATCCGGTCCTGCTGCTTTCCTGCATTTCAGTAGCTTTATGGCGCTCAGGACTTCGACTTTCATCAGAGTGCTTGTGTTCACTTGTAGTTCTGTGGCTGGTCTGCAGGTGGTATTTCTGGACGAAGTGCAGGTGGTGGTGGTCGATTCAAGAGCTTCTTGAAGTGGTCAGTCCATCGTTTCCTTTGTTTCTGTTCTGTGTTAATTAGATTTCCGTCATCATCTATTGGTTTCGTCTGCGTTGATCTCTTCCCAGGTAGATAGTAACCTGGTTATTTGATACAATGTTGTCAGGTCTCTCCTACATGCATTCTGTTCTGCTTCACTTGCCAGTATGTCGTAGAAGTGTCTTTTGTCTTCGCATGCACTCTTCTTCACTTCTTTGTCCAGTGTATTGTTTTAAACATTGTACTCAGTTCCCCCTCTTTTTGAGCATCCTTGCACTGTTAGATGTGCATAGGGTGACCAAAACACATTAGTCTGTTCAGTGATATAAGTGGATACCTTCATAGCCATACTTTTAGTAATCCATTCAAGTATTGATAACTGGTTGTCACAAGGTGTAGTTGTCACCATCCAAAGGATTAGTATATGTAAGTGACTACTGTATTAGGTACAATGAAAGGGGTTATGTATTCTGCAAATGTATAGTTGTGAATTGCTTTACAAAAACGTATTCTCGGTCTCATCAGTATTTAAGTATTTTGCCTGATACTTGTTTCGATTGTTATTTTAACTCGGAGTTTTTTATTTTAAAGACGTGTCCAAAAAGTAGTTGAATACCGTATGTCGTTCTGTTTATCTACATATACCACTAGTTTGATGATAGTATTCACTTCACTATCAGCATCATAGAACTATGATTCCACTTCATCTACCGAGCTTTGTGCATCCAGTTAGTATCATTGACCCTCAGTTAATAGGTATGGCTGATTTCATAGTGCACAAATCTCTGTTTAGTTGTTGGAAGAAAGTTCAACTTACCTGATTTGTTGTATATATGTCCATAATAATTCACTCCTAATACTAATATTTATAGTGTGTACATGTCGTCTTTGATTTCAACAGAAGTATTGCAGTGAAATGAAGCATCATAGGATGTTCGTACTGTAATTACATTACAGTAACTGAGATTATTTGAACATGGCCTCCCATTCAGTAATACTCATGTTATTTTGATGCAGCTTTTTGTTTCTTGTTATTGACTAAAATTGTCTGTGACAAGATACTTCATACTCTAAACAAATATTAGGGTCTAGGTTATTTTTTTTGATCAGTTTTTGGAGATATATGACAAGGAATCATGTTTATACCTTCTTGTCAGTTTATTTGATACCTATTTAATATTGTTAGCTTGTAAAGTAACTTCACTCCTTTGGCTTTTTATTTTATTTAACGAACAATAAACTTTTTATCAGATTTATTATTATACGACTACTTTTTCATTGTGTAATATTGACTGTTTTCTTATCTTTCTAGCGCTGATGAAATCCCAGGTATTCTAACAAGTAAACTGGCCTTGAAATATACAAGCCGGGATATTGATGCTATGCGAGAAGTCGGGGTGGCTGCCAAAGAACGGTCGTTAGGCGATTTTTTATTGGTAATATATATTCTTACTTTCCACTGTACGCTTATAAGTCATGTCAGTTTTATACAACATGTTATGTATATACTATCTAGCATATACGTGCATCTTTAACCATTAAACACACCTAGTGTATGTAGACTTTAATACTGCATAGTTGCCCCGGATGAGGTGGAGTATTTTTAAATGCCAAACCACTAAGTTTAATGTTATAGGGGAATATGGCTGATCTTTAATTTCACTGTTTTCTCGTACAGTCATCATATCACTTACCGTAGTTGTAACTTCTTACTTTGTTCTGCTTATTTATTTAGCTTCAGGAGAAGTATAAAGCTGAATTATCTGGAGATCCAGTGATAAGCCGACATTTAAATTCATTTTATGATACTTTATTTGGACAGAATCTTCTTAAACTTATTGAACCGTATTCCCGTGTTCAGATTGGTCATATTGCTAAGCTTATCAACATTCCTTTGGTAAGCACAATAAATTGTTTTAGTTTTTGTTCGCTGCCTTATAACTCGAGTTTTAAGAATTTATTCCCCTTACTTCTGTTAATTACATCTCTGTGTTGTCAGGACGCGTGGTTCGAAATTCTGCCCTTCAAGTTATTTTGCTTCAGGAAAGTAGTATTGTTGTACAATTCATGATGTAACTGCCTATTTCAGGATAGGCAGACAAGTTAACGTAATACCTGATACAAAAGCCCATCACCTTAAGTTGCCATACTTCACAACAGCATGCGAAGAATGAGCAGATAGAGAGAGGATGGTATTAAAGGAGATAAGAACGCATAGGAGGAGAAATAACTGAAAGTTGATACAATCGTTCAAACTTCGGAAGGTAACAAAGTATATATATATATATATATATATATATATATATATATATATATATATATATATATATATATATATATATATATATACGATTATGACCAATTTCTGGTCATATTACAAAAAGTATTATTTCGTGGATCCCAGTTAGGTAGTCCACCACTTCCAGCATGGTTCAGACCGGCAGTCTTAGGCTACGTGGATTGGTGCCACTTCTTAGTTTGATCACGTTTAAATTTATTTAGGCTGTATCCTACTTCTGCTAGCATTGGGAGTTGAAATAACCAGGGATTTACTCGGTGAAGATTCACAATCTTATTGACTGACTTGTCTTCCTCAACCAGCTTCGAATTTGCTACATAATGTTGGCCATTTTTTGTCAAAGTAGTTGTCACAACTGTTTTACAAAGTCTTAGCAGTTTCATGTATTCTTTTCGTTATCTTTTGGACATTTTACTTGAATGTCGCAAAAAGCATATTAATACTTTCTTGAGATTTTTGTACGTAGCACTTTTCATTCAGGTCTTCATATTATCTGTTTATTCTGGTTTTGAGCACTGATGGGTTGGTGTTTGAAATCATATCCGTCTACCAAGGTTTAGGCAAACAGTTAGTGTCACTAACTACCACACAATAGATATGTAGCATACACGTCGTTTCTGAATTGCATTGTCGTTTTATAATAGAATAGTATCACAGTACCAACAGAAGTCGCTTCTCACTTTCATATAACGTTATTCTGATCCCATTTTTCTTTATAAAAACTTTTTCCTCTCAATACAGTACTTGGTAGTGACCTTAGCTTGAATCTCGGTGGGACATCAGTTCCATCAGGGTTGCAGACACACCATGCTGATGAGTATTAAAAGGCAGGGATTATAGGCCCAAGGTGCACGACGATGTTGAAACTCTTAGCTTGGTGATCACATTGTGAGATGATCTTTAGAATTTTGTCAGCACTCAGGGCTGGCTAACATGAAGTTGGTTACTCTCTAGTGACCAATTAATGTACAATTCATAGTACTAACTCTACCGTATAATCATTGTCTCATTCAAGTTCTTACTTGTTTCTTTATTTACACAAGCAATGATTTTTTTTCGAAATGAAATACTAAAACGGAATAATTTATCGTGAATTGATATTTTCCATCAGTTACTTTTCTGCGAAGAAAACAAAAAAATTTAAATACGTTCTCGGTACTGGATTCAAATTTTTTTTGTGTGTTCATACTAAACATCGCCTATCCATTCAATTACGCTACCTCTGCTGCCCAGTATAGAGGCGATTGTAACATGTTCTATCCTCTTTGTTTCTACAGGAAACGTGCTTAAAGGTGTTGTAAGCTGATTTTGCGTCAGATTTATACGCTTATTGTATTGGGATAGTGATGATCATCAATATCGGTGATTATCGATTTAAAGCTTTGAAGTTTATTAAATTTCCGAATGGTACTGATATATTGTGTTTGTTGATATATAATGTACAACCTACCGAACGAACTGTATAGGTTTTGTTTTTAATGAAGACCTTGATGCCATCTGCGAGATGATTTTCTTTTTTCGTCATTCAACTCTTGAAACTGCCAAAACCGTTTGGCTTTCCATTAAATCTTTGGGAAGTACATCTCGAAGCATGCTTTTGGTATGTATATGATGAAGTAAGCGTCGTAGTAATTTTTTGCTTATTTCAATTTTTAGGAAACTGTGGAAAAGAAGCTTTCACAGATGATCTTGGATAACGAACACAATGGTTAGTTACTACTTACCACGGACTATTTTTGTTGCCTCAACATCCTATAGGGTGTTAGCTTAGTTATATTACTCAATTGAGAATAACTGTCAGTTTGTTATGAATACCAGTTTTATTCATTATTTAGCTCAAACACCATAGAGACTGTTAACCGACTCTCCACTTGACCTTGATCCTGAGTGTATCAAGGTTGACTGTAGTTGGACTGCTTTCAGACCTCTAAGGTATGAGAGTCATTTGTAGTGTGGGACATTATGCATTTCATTTTCGCAGTGGTTTTTTAACAACGAAGTGCCTAGTGAGATTAACCGGAATGAACTATTCTGCGTAGCAAATTATCTTCTACACAGCTTGGACTGTAACGAAATCGAATTTCAAAACATGTCTAAATGAAGAATCAAGTAAATTTATATGTCTGGTGTGTGATGTTCAACAAACCACTGCAAATTTCTAACCACAAACTGGCTTTTAAATTATCTTGAAAAAAGAAAAGATTATTTACGGCATCAGTTAACGTAAAAGCATGCCTAATTTCCATAATTACTGAAAGTGCACTCAAGTCAGTTAGTGACTTTCAACCTGTCATTTCTGAATAACCGTCTCATATCAGCTAATCAACCAAGAAGGCGGTAAGATAAAGTATCAAGACAATGAGACAATACTGAAACTCGATGTGACGATAATGTCTGTATACAGCTGCGCCACTGAAATTGATTTTGTGCTATATCACCGAGTCTCTAACTACTTACTTTGATGATTACCCAGGCCACCAACTGAGAGATGTACATTTCCCTACATGACACAAAACAGTAGTCAGAAACTTTATGGATATATGTCGTGCTTTAAAAAAGCGCGCTTGTGTATCCTTCAACCATTTATTCTGTAGTAGTTTTATTCGGAAAAATCGCTATTCATGCATTTTTTTGAGAAATTGATCACTTAAGCTGGTATGCTTTATTATATATATATAATAACAGAGTACGGCCTCTTTTTTTATAAAATCTCCTTACGTAAACTTGCAAACTTCACACAGAGCTAGAGTAACTCGGAATTTCTTAAGTACTCCACTACCGATGTATGAGCGATTTCATGACATGAATGATGCTTAAAACACATTACTTATTTACTATGTTTTGAATATCATTAGTTATATGTAACTGTATTGCGCATTCTAGGCGACGGTTTACGTTCGTTCGTTGTTTTCATTTGATGTAACAGTTCAGAGTGCTTTCGAAACTTTTCAATGTTCTAAAGAGAGAAGAATTTGAAACTTATTACGCTCGTGCTCATGTAGGTTCTCTTCCAACAGTTTCCTGCGGAAAAATGGAACATGAATTTCACGCTTTACGACCTTGTTCAGATGTTGCATACCTTTTGATGAAATATTACTACTTTATTTCGAACGTATCGCCTTAATACTAAACCTCGTTTGTCTTATGCCTTTGTGAACTCTAGAAATCTTATTATTTGAAACAGTTTTTTTATGAATTTAGATAGCGTAATTAGAAGACGAAGTTTATCCGAACAATGTGATGTATTCGTGCAATATATTGCGAAAAATTTGATCATACATTTATATGAGACCGAATAGTGGGAAGACAAATATAACAATTAACATAATAAGAGATTAAAGTTAAGAAAGATGAGAACAAACAGGAAGTGATCTAAATGGTTCAGTCTTGGTAAGAAAACAAAGTTTACCAAGGTAGATATAGTGTAACAACAAATTGTTTTTGTACACATAAAGATGATTGCCATTTGTGCATGACTATCGCTTCCTCAAATCTCAGTATGCATCCCTGACTGTTTCTATATAAAACTTTAAAAGCTGTTTAAATATAAGTTTTGTTACTTGTTTCTAATAATATGTTTGTCTGTACATGAAGACAACCCTCTCCCACTTGCATTTGTCCAAGTTTCACACTCCATCTTTTTTTGAAGCGATTTAGATACATATTCTCCCAACGTGAACCGTATGGCTCGATTTCTCCTACCTATGCATTTGTGACCACACACACAGTAAACTGGTAAACACAATGGGGTGGATGTACTCACTTATACAGTGTTTTGTTTCTCCACAATGATAATAAGCTTAGCTGCATAATAACGTTCCAGACTGTTCAATATGTATTGCGCAGCTACACATCACATTGTTCAGATAAACTTCATTTTTTCTAACTACACTATCTGAATCTTATTATTACTTGTCCTTAGTGCGTTTGGTAACTTTTTTCACTTATTAGAATTACTCCCAAGTTCATTCTCAAAAACTGTTAAGTTATTAACAACTATTCATGATTATGGTTTGACGAGCAGGTTTATGTTTTGCTTGACAGTAACTTCTTGTATTGTTTATTCAGATTGGTTTTCACCATGAGGTATGTACAGTCTCTTTAGTACACACCGTATGCTTTGTGAGACCTATCAGTTTAATGAAAATTTGGAGATGAACTAGAAACGTAGTATATTCAAAACAAGTTGCACGAAATGTAGTTGTATTTTTTCTTCGAAATGCTCAGTTCTTTATTACTTTTGCAATCCCACTTTTGTTCTCTTCAATAGTGCGTGTCTGTTATTGTTGTTATTATGAAAACTGTTATTTTTATCATCCTGTCTAGTGTAAAATTTGCCATGTGAAACTTATTCTCCTCCCACCTCTTACGTGTATTGGGTCAGTAAACACTCCTTAACTTGATTAAGCGGCACTACTATGAACAGTAAAGACTGTCTTTTATGGAAATTTATTTCCTGTTTGATAGACTTGGCATTTTGATCTTATTATACGTTTTTTCTTATACTTTTCACGATTTTTCATCTATTGATCTGTTGATGGTGTACATTCTCTAGTTTTCACCTCCCAGATGTCGCGTTCTTATTCCTGGTTACAGGATCACTCGCTGATTACGCCTATCATTGGTACGATCCAGTCATTGAGGCTTAGTTTTCAGTATCTAACTACGGACCTTGTTTTTTTGTTTATCTAACAGTATATCATCATTGTTCAGAATGTGTTTGCCAATTATTTAACTCCATTGTTTTGTTTTCCTAAAGGGATTCTGGATCAAGGTTCTGGTGTTTTGGTCCTAAGAGAACCGGAATGTGAGGGTAAAGATTACCCACTGGCATTATCTGCAGTACAATCTCTTGGAGGTATTGTGGACATGCTTTTTCAGAAGTCCACAAAGTTAAAATGATTTGAATATTGGGAATTTATGACTGTTTCTTAATAAAACCTACTTACTTGATCTGAACTTTTTCCCAGTTAGCTGTTACACTTCGTTTCTGATGCAATGCACCTTTTGAAGTTGTTTGATCACTGTAAAAAGTAATAACTGTAGTCCTGTTAAATGAAGACCCTGACGAGATAAAAAATCTTATCGACACCCATGGAATGGCAATTTGAGAATACTTGGGATGCGTTCCTCACCACTCAAATGAAATTGTTGCTCCAGGACTGGTCTTCACTGGTGTTTTGTCTAATAATTCGGGAATAGAGCGGTTGGTTACGTTATCCACTTCACTTACTCGGGAAGTCAAATCAGCCGTGGTGGGTCAGTGACCGAAGAAATCTTTACTTGGATACAAAACGTTCACTTGACTTCCGCCACTTTACGCCATCTGTGATGCCATTAAGGGCAAAGAATACTACTTTGTAGTTCGCTCTTTACTACTTTGTCTCTACGAAACACCGCCATTAAAGGTGAAAGTCATGATACAGCTTCAGGTATCTGACAACCGTTGCCTTTGTAGTAGAAACTCTGTGGTGGTATTACTACATAAATAAAGCAGAAGTCAGGTGTTGAGTTTTAGCGAGAAGAGGAAAGTCGGTTGGTGAGGTTGTGAACCTTCATGGGCTTAAGTGACTTGGACATGTGTTAGACATGCCTAGTTACCGTCTGCTTCACTACACAATATTGGCTACAGTAGGTTTAGGCTGGAAAAAAGTAGGGGCGGCCACAGTAAAATGTTGTATTAATGCTTGATGTCTTTCATAGTTAGTCTGTGTCATTTGGGAAAGTGTAGACTAGGAGGTTGGGGCCTGTGACTACAGAACAGTTTTTGAGAACTAGGTGATATGGGTCAGAATCGAGTCAGCGGCGCAGATGTATCCACACATTATCTTCGTCTTAGTCCTCTTTTTAAAACCAGCATTTCCTTGTTGTTCTTTATTCTCTTTTTGCGACTCCCTGTCACCTTTGACCGGTTTCTTTTGTATTTTATCTTTCATATTAGTGCTTTGTCGCTTGGTCTGCTGAAATGTGGTGCAGCAAATTGTACCATTATGCAGCAGTACCTGTTCCAATGTCTATGGTGATGGTTTATGACTGGATTGTACTTATTTTCGTCTCAGTGTGATTACTGTTTTGCTTGTATAATCTTTAAACATTTATCGTAATCTACTACTAACCATCTCTCGGTGCAAACTTTACAGCTCTGTAGACGTAGCGAAATCCAACAAACAAGAATTACTTTGTTGCCAGAGTGGTCAGTCAGTGAAGTTAGAATTTTCATGTATTTTAAGTGTATGTCGCTTTTAGAAATCAGAAGAATTCCTCATATAAGTCTTTTTGTTTTGCAGAATCAGATTCTAATTACAATTGGATTATAGTCTAAAACGGTCATTCATACTGTAAGGAATGCAGTGATGTGAATCTTTTGATTGGTATCAGAGCAAAACTTGAGCACTGTGACAGAATGTAATTGTATTCTAGTTGGTTTATTAGATGTGTCACACAATGAAGCCTGATTGTTTACTGGATTAAGTTTTGGACACAATTTATTGTCCATATTCACAGTCACTCTTGATATAATTATGGACAATAGATTGTGTTCGGAACGTAATCCAGCTAATAATACTGTTCCACTATGTAATAAATCTAATCAATCAACTGAAACAGGACTTTGGATTGACACTTGAAGAGTTACTTTGGAGTAAAAACGATACCTAAGTGCATGAAGTTCACTTAAGTTCAATGTATATTTACCTGGTGAAGATAAACACAATACGCGAAGCTGTCCGAGTAACAGGACTTCTGTTGGACAAGTGGAGACGATGTGTCCAGAAAGACGTTTGGAGTGTACACTTTTATCATAAATAAAGTACTTATACCTCAGATCTATGGCAATATATGCACTTATTTGTAGAACGTTTGTCTGGAAATGCCTTCAGAATTATTAGTTGTCTGATCTTCCTGTCACAATATGATATAGTGTTATTTTCTGACACCCATCTGAATATTGAGATGTTAGTTAGCTTTTATGGTTTCTAATCGAATTTTCTAGCTACCGGTAACTTCCGTAATCCAAAACCAATATACAAAAGAGGTTGACCTTTATGGACAGCTTTCACTGCTCCTACTATCGATGGAATTCACTGCTGACATTGAGGTTGTTGACAATAAGAGCAAATTCAGCCAATAAGAGAGTAAGAATGGAAATGTGTACGGTAAATTTTGACATTATTTCTAGCTGCATATCTCAAAAGAAGAGTGTTCATTCTGTTTGGCTGATTAGTCTCTGCTCAACTCTCCGTATTTGTTTAACTCTTGTAACAGTCAGACGTGTGACCTGTAACTTCCTACTAAATATGCTGTAGCACCCCTGATTTATATTTAATGGTTTCTAATAAAATGCATCTGCTTACCAGTCATTGTGTGAGTGTACTACCAAGCCGTGATATTATTGGAGTCAGTCTTGTGTGATGCGTCATCTCCTAACGCATCAACTAACCGAAAGAACCATGTGAATACTTTCAGATGGTAGGTCAAACGAAGGTATGTAACCATATAGTGGATTCCAAAGAAATATGACTATCACAGTGAGTCTGTGAGAATCTTCATTTTCCAGATATCGTTAGTTTGAATAAGATTTAAGTTAAGGACTCCAACGAGGTTTGTCTTTAGGAAAACAGTAGTTCTAGATATGTTGCCCACTAAACCATGGAAGTGGGATAACAAACACAAGTCAGGAATCTTCTTTTTGTCCGTGGTTCATAAGTCGCCACATGGATGGACATCAAAACAGAACCATTTGGAGTGACGGGTAGTTGTATGATTCAGAGTTTGAGTATTTTATCGGATTCTGCTTTTCTTGCACTGAGTCTTAGGAGATTGAGGCTTCTGGTATGTGTGTAATCTGGTAATGGATTATAATCGTGTATCTCACACGCAATGGTACTTTCATGAAACACATGTCAGTTTCACGTCTATGTTTATTTTGTTAGCGTACTGATGGTCGTTTACTTTTGAATTATGCAATATATATATATATATATATATATATATATATATATATATATATATATATATATATATATGAATAGGTTGAAAGATCGCACCTGCCTTCTTAGGTATGTATCTGGACAACTTTTTGATGTCATCAGAAAAACAAAGTATTCTGTACCTATTGGGAGTGTAGCAAGAACTATAGGTTTGCTTTGTATTTGCATGGACCACAAGTGAAACGACAGGTGGAAACCTACGAGAATGAATTTAGAATTTCGTTTCCGCTAGGTATTCTCACAAGGAATAAAGGGTTTTCAGCTCCCGTTGCGAAATGAATGCTGTAGACAATGTGCGATGAAAAACGATAGCAGGGCTCAGCAGCCTTATATCAAAGATACTTAAGGATGGCGACTGAGAATTACTGGCGCGTGAGAAACAAGTATGGGCTCATTTGACTGGTCTAAAACTGTAAATAGCGAGCCATTTTCTGAAGGTTCTAAGTCGGTGTTATTGGAAAACGTCTCTTGTTTGGGATTGTCACAGCTGTGGATCCAAATAACTTGAACGGAAATATAGCCATTTACTTTATTCCCTATCTGGAATTGATACCGGAAATACTCTGCACGACAGTGGGTAGCTTCTCAATAGCAGCTCATCCGCCCTGCAGGAAATTAGATGGGTATCCCATGTAAGTTTAGGAGCATGAAGAGAATGAACCGTAGTAAAATTTTGAAGTTAGGAATTTCATAGATAAGAGATTGCAAATACAAACGCATTGGTTTGGATCGTTGTCTGTACCCCACTATGCTCTTCTTTCATAAGTTTTAGTGTTTCTTTCTGAAGCTCAAGAAGGAATCTGTTAGCATAAAGAGTATTATGGGTGTTATGACATATCATGGTGTATCCCCCTAATCTGCTAGTATGGTGCTGGTTGCAGTACAACAGCCTCTAAGCAATCCAGGTAAATCTGACGCTAGCACTGTTCATTGCTGTTCTCTGAACTCTTTTCAGGAGACCAGTTCTTTGAGTAAGGAAGAATATAAAGTCCATGCAATTCTGTGAATAAGCTCAAAGCTAGTCCTCCCAATTTCAAAGGAGAAACTCCTGGACCCACAAATTCTCGTTGGTTGCATACTGAAACTGGAAAAACAGTCCAAATCCCACTGAGTAACATAAAGATCTTTCAAAACTTTCAACCAACCAGTATTTATTCTAAGCAGCTTGCAAGGTGTTGAACTAGGCCGATTCTTATGCTCTGCTATAATCTTGAGATGCAGTAAGCTTTCACGTTGTATTCTTGTTTGTGGTCTAGTTTTTCCGGAAGACGGAGAAATTCATTACCTCTTTATTCCTCCCCGAGTCTTTTCATCATCGTGCTTCCGAGACTAAGAATTCAGGATGGCGGTGTAACGTCACACACTTTTTCAGAATCAATAGCCTGGGATTCGATGAGGTCCAATATTGATGCTGACCTTCATAGTTTTGCCGGACTCGTTTAGCTGAAGGCACCTGGTCAATCATTCACGCCCTTTGGCATGCTGTCGTGTTACATTGCACTGCTCGTAATCGACCCTCTAGCCAGTTGTTTGGAACTTGTTGGTACCTTGGCACGACCTTGCAAATATACTATTCCATCCGACTACGCTATTGTGTTCTTTCTTGTTCTCGTATTTGTGGGCATATAACAAGTTCGAATAATTAATGATTGGGCTCTGAGTCTGTCAAGCTCGCACCAGGACAATTTCTAAAGCACGTAAACAATTTAAAATAGTAGCAGACAGTACTGGACCATGAGTAGAACCTTGAGTCAACCAAGAATGCATCGTAAACCCACTGGGGTATGGGGAGACTCACTGAATGCGATTTTCAGTGTAACTGCTGACTGGTCTCCTACACATATTGACTGATGTTTCATGAGTAACCTTTTCCCACACCCTAAAGGATCCATGCAGCACAATATGATTGCAATTTTTCTGCTCAACACACAGTTTAGCTATTCCAGGCTGTCGGCTTTGCATGAT